TTCGGCGCCACAGTGTGGCATCTTTGGCGGGACCGCAATGAACACATTTTCTCGGGCGTGGATGTTAATGTGGAACAGCAAGTTCGTGATGCTCGTCATTTTGCTCATGCATTAAGGCCTCCACCTCTGCTGAGAAGCGTCTAGGAGGTCTCGGAGTTGGCCGAGATATCCGGTTTATTTGCTGGGAAGCAGTGGCGAAACTAGCCAGTCATCCCGGGGAGGGCCCAATTTTCCGCGGCGCACCACCCCCACTCCGGCCATCCCGCGGCGCACCACCCCCACTCCGGCATCGGAAGGGCGCTCAAAGGGCTTTTGTGGATGCTCTCAAAAATTTTCGCAGGATATAAAGGAATACTGTAGAGATTTTTCTAAAAATCAAACTAAGTCCGGAATTAAACTGATATACTTAAACTGAATTATTTTAACTCGAAAAATACTCGAATTTATACTAATAAAAAGCTCGGACTCAATTATAATAATAATCAAGAATTATACCTCCTTTCGAATAGACGAAAAGCTGAAAAATTTGAGAAAACGAAGCCTCGAACGATCGAACTCGTCCTCGACAAATTTGCTTCTTTTGATACTATTTAATGCAGAAATTCAAAATCCCATAATAAATGCTCGGAACTCCGAAAAATGCAAAATTTGTCCGTATAGAATCGTGCTTGAATTGTCTACACACTCCAACTTGATTCTCGTTAAACCGAGGTCAAGCGCAACCTTACGGAACCCCGCAAAACGGCTTTTTATTCTTCTATTATGCGCACTCGACTTCGAGCTTCTCAAAATATATGCTCGAAACTTCGAAACGTGAAATAAATTTTACGAACGGGTTTTACTGTTCTCGTGCTTTCAAAAAAGTACTCCCAATAATTTTCAGCACGCCTAACGAGGGCCGACGGTTACCCGAAGTCTAGATATGAAAATGACAATAAAATCACCGCCACTGCCATTTTTCTCTCAACTTCGGGCTACCCAAAATAAATGGTCGGGACCTCAAAATCATAAATCGATGCCCCCAACGCACTCTTCGCTTCCTGTACTTTCATAAAAGTATTTTTTGGTAATGATCGACTCGGTTTTTGAGTCCCGTCGGTACATCGCAAGTCGGCTAATTAACCAACTCAAAATATAATAAAAATGAAAAAAATATTAAATTCTGGTGTTGTTATAGTTATCCTTGTCCCGAAACCAGGATCCCGTTTCAGGGAGGCCCAATTTGCCTTTAAAAAAAATTCACGATAAAACCGTTGGCGCCCCTCCGGCCATGTATGTACCGCATGAAACCGGGGAGGGCCTGTTTGTTATGTTTTTGTGTGTTTTATTGTGTTTTTATTTGCTTGAGTCGAGTGTTTTTAGGTTCCGTTTGTGCGTTCCGGTCCATTTTGTGTTCGTTTTTATTAGTTTTTCGTTTTTGAGTCATTTTCGTATTTTTCTCTATTTCTTTTGTGCGATTTGGTGTTTTGTAGGCTCGGAAAGAAAGAATTATCGTTCCGTGATATGACGTTCCGAGTGCGTAGTCGTGGAGCTCGTTGTTGAAATCGGAGTGTCGATTTATAGAGTCAAAGTTTCAAAATGATCGGAGAATAGCGCGACGAGATGGAGCTTTAGAAGTCGAGCCATAGTCCCCGACTACATTTCCAGCCCAATTTCCAGCTTCAAATTCCGCACCCGCGAACTCAATTTCGCGAGCAACACAATTTCCGCGAGCAACTTGGGACTTGCAGCAGCTAGAATTCGAGCCTGCGAAATCGCTCCCCTAGCCCGCGAACCACTCCTTAGCTGCGAGTTCTACTCATGCGTTCAAAACCTGCGAATTCCATCTTCATAACCTGCGAGTTCCGAAGCCCGTACCTGCGAATATCTTCAAAACCTGCGAGTTCCTTTTAATGCACGTCAAAGTCGCGAGTTTCAAGCCTAAGCTGCGAGTTCTCGTCTTCCATCCTGCGAGTTCGACGTGCCCTGCGAGTTTTTATCATTTAATGTGCGTTTTTAGTGTGTGTTTTGCCTAGTAGTATAAATACATTTGATGCTTTGTATTTTGGAATCTAACTTTCATTATATCATTTTTCCTTTTTTGAACATTAGCTTAAGTATTTTATTCTCTCTCTAGAGTAAGGTGAATGTTCTTGACAT